GGGGAGAGTGAGCGAGTGGCTGTGTGGTGCTCAGTTGCCGACTGAGGTTAAACCATGACAACTTTAAAACAATAAAGCATGTTTCAAATATAAAGCAAAAGCAATACAAAGAAAATGGTATCCAATAGTCATTCACACATCAACAAAATAATGAAATAATTGAAATAATTTTTAATGTAAACAGAACTAACTCAAAATTCAGGTTGTAAAAACAGTGGCAATGTTACATATCTTTTTATTTGTAGAACAGTAAGTTGATCCGTTCTTATACTAGGCTGAACAATTTTGCTAGAATAACTAGATGGGCATTTATGTTTGGAGGATCAGATAGCTTTGTCTCAATGTAAACAGCATTCATGTTAATGGAATTCTCGCAGTCAACATCTTGAGTTAAAATCTGCATGGTTTCATAGTTTTTTCTATACATAAAAAACATTTTTCAGGTATTTGTCAAAATTGAGTAGCTATACAGCACAACTGGAGATGGCTGGCAACATGCTAACTTCTTGCTCTCGATTTATGATAAATACTAGGAAGAATTTTTTAAAATTAAATTTCTGCACAGATAATTTTTATGTGAACAATTGTCAGCTTTTTAAAGAGATTTTATTGACTTTTCCTCTTTTGTTAGTGATACTTATTTTTTCTGAGTCTGTAACTGGTATTACAGTGGGAGTTTATAAATGTTATAATAAATGCAGGGAAGACAGTTGATCAAAAAATATACAACTGACTGTTCTTACCCAAGACTAGGTAAATTTAGTAAGATGCCTTCATTGATAAAAGGAGATTCTTGGAAAAAACATAATTAAACAATTGGGTTAGAGAGAGGTTGAACGTTAATTTTAGTAATATTTTGTGTTATTGACAAGTATAGTCTACATAATTATTGGATGAGTAGATAAACTAACAATGGGTAGAGAATGGGCTAAGCTGTGGATAAAGCCAATTTAGAGTGGGAAACAGTAAGGGAGATACTGTGCCACTTTTCAGGCTATAGCTGTTTTATGTATCAGCACTGATGCAAATTTTGATTGTTAGCATGTGGCACATTAATTTTATCCCAGAAAGGAATTTTGGCTCGGTAACTCTCTGCTTAAGGACAGATAAAAAAGGATGATACTTTTTTTAATTTATGCTAGTTGTGTCTACAGACTCATGAACAGACTCAAGAATTTCTTTCCAGTATGTCCTGAAGGATGTATTTGGCAGCAACAGTAGGGACTTGGATTTCGTTGGGACATCTAAAAAATGTGTAGGGATTTTCAGTAGATGATTGTGTAGACTACACTCATCAGTGAGAGACAGTGCACTCATGAGATGTTATTTTAGCATACAGTTTTCTCATTAGAACTACAGGAGCTACAGCATGACTTTTGCAGACCAGTATTATCCCAATGCCATAGAGGCAATATACAGTTTCTCTGTTTGGATTAGCAAGCAGAGCTTTTCAATTCTGGGTTGACAGAAACTGGTTTTCTCCCACACCATCTTCATTCTTCCTGTTCTGTTGGCTACCCCGATACATAGATTCTGGATGGTGTGTAAAGTTACATGCAGGGAAGAATGGCCAAATCTCTAAGTCATCAGAGACTTTACCCTGTACCCTAGAGTCACAAGAAATATTCCCTTCTTCATTTCTGACAGTTACAGGGTTACACTGTGGTTAGTCACTGGGCTTGGAAATTATGCTGAAAGGAAAAGAAAAATGTAGATGTTCATTCCTTCACTTCATCTTGCTATCTTTGAAATGGTGGAACATGTGGCCAGTCCTGTAGCTACTTCCAGACAGGGAAAAATTGTCTGTTCTGACAAGCGTCTCAAGTTTCAGTTGTCATTCCACAGTGATTGTGCCTCTCATAGTTTCTTAAATTATTTAAGTCCTCAAGCCTATTATAGGCAGAACTGATACCATTCAAGGATTTCTAGTTACATGTAGTGGAAGTGTCTGTGTCTTCAACAATTGTACTACTTGGAATGATTGCTTTATAGTTATGTTACTTCCTACTGAAAATTATTGGGAGTTGTGTTATATGCTAGGGTTTGTTGTTTTTTTGAGAGCGGTGTACAATTTGTTTGTTTCATTTGTGTTCTTTTTTTCCAGAGAATCAGTAACATTTCTTATTTATGCTGGATCAAATAGTACTTGAAGATCTTTGTTATCTGGCTAATTAGCAGTTTAGTGAGGAAGTGAGCTGTGGAGAATATGTAGAGGAAGGAGAATTGCCTATGCAGTGGACAATTCAGTGCAGGCTCTATTTGAGTCCAGTCATAACAAGAACGAAACTTTGCAGAAATTTCCTTGATCCAACACATTGTATGTGTGTAAGTGTCAACCAGATCTCATAGTTTCCACTGTTGTCTCTGTGGAAAATGTTTTACAAATATTTTTCTACTTCAAAATATTCCTCCAATTACCTGTTTGTAGCTTCTTAGAAGGTTCAGATATGATAACCTTGCTGAACTCAGAGGAAGGCAGGGCAGGATAAACTGTTATAGAGAACTGTAGTTGAGGATAAAATGCAGAAACAGTACTTGCCTTTCCAAAGCAAGCATACATCTCTAGTTCAGTAAGCTAGTCTTTTGTCTTCTGTGGATGGTAAAGAACATTTCCAAGTCCTTATTTTAGATACCACACCAAGAACAATGCTGATTAAAAGCAAAACCTTTTCATCATGAATATAAGCAAGTTCCCTAGAAGAGGGTGTGCCATCTCCATCTTTGGAGGCTTTCAAGACCTGTCTGGCTGATGCCTGAGCCTGCTTTGAGCAGAAGTTTGGAGTAGATGTCCTCCTGACCTATAAACTGTGTGATCTGTACAAACTTAGTAAATGAGTTCAACTGTGGGAAGTGTTGATTATGACTAATAATAACCTGGTCTTTTATCCTAATGAACTGACACTGTCCAGACCAGCTGCTTTAGAAGAGGGTAAAAGTACAAGAAGAGCAGGCAAGTAAGGGGTAAGCTGTGTCAAAGAGAAATTCCTACAAAGGTTCAGTTCCTCCTATACATATGGATCCTCATACATGCAGGTGAATCTTACATCTTTCTCCATGTGGTTGATAGAACATATCAAAATCTTTAATAGGACACTGCATACCCAGTGCATATGGAATCTTAAAGAATTTAACTATTAAAGTCTAAGAGATCTCAAATTAACTTTTTCAGATTTACAAAATCCAACTTACAGAATGGTGTGTAAACATACTTGTGTGTTTATGCATTGAAACAACATTTACACAGTGAAAGAATGTCTGTTCTTCAAAGCTGCAGGGTGCTACAAAACTCTTCTTTGAAAATTGTAGCGGTTTTTGTGAATGAGAATTTTTTCCAAAACTTCTTAGAAATGGGTGAATGTTTTCTAAAAATAACTAGAAATGGAAAACTGACATTGAAAACCTCAGCTGAAGTTTTATTCATGTTTGGCAAAATTAGCAACTGCAACCGCCATTGGGGCATGTTCTGGGCAGACTGTACTATGTGACCCCAGAACTTAGTTGCAGGCAGTTTTGTGAGCCTTGCGTTTAGCATAATAAGCTGTAAACCAGTGTTCTGGAGCACTTATGCACACATGACTTAAAAAGACTATATATTTTCATGAAAATCTGTTAAAATAGATCATGATTTCCTGTAATATGGGCTCTTGCTGATGAAAGTACAAATAATGTTTCCTTCTAGCTCCCTACAGTTTTCTTTTTTTAAATTAGTTTCTAGATCAGGATGAATAGTTTGAAGGCTGAACGCATGAAATATCTTGATGTGATCAAATTTTTTTTTAAATTAATGAATGCCACTAATTTGAGACAGAAGACATTCAGCTATGAAAGCCAATCTTTCTAAGGTTAGCCTACTGGATAGCC